TAGAGACGGGGTTTCACCATGTTGACCAGGATGGTCTCGATCTCTTGACCTTGTGATCCACCCGCCTCGGCCTCCCAAAGTGCTGGGATTACAGGCTTGAGCCACCGCGCCCGGCGACCATGCCTTTTTTATTTTTTCTTTTTAGAACATTTTTAAAAACTTTATTGTCTTTTTAAACTTTTAAATAATCTTTTCTTCTTTCCTTTCATCTCCTTAGCCTGATACCCTGCCTTATCTTTAGGAAAAAATGCTCTTGATAATAAATATAAATAGAGTAAACTCATTTGTATTAACATGTGAGATTCTGTTCAAAATCCATTCTCATTATAGGTCACTCTTCAGCACCCTCAGCTGATTGCCACTCTGGCTAAATTAAGGAACTCTAACATCTAAAACAGCTTTTTCAAGATAACTATTTTAAATGTTCCCCACTCTTGGCCAGGTGCAGTGGCTCAAGTGCTGTAATCCCAGCACTTTGGGACGCCAAAGTGGGCAGATCACTTGAAGCCAGGAGTTCAAGACCAGCCTGGCCAACGTGGCAAAAACAGATTCTCCACTAAAAATACAAAAATTAGCTGGGCATGATGGTGTGTGCCTGTAGTCCCAGGTACTCTGGAAACTGAGGCAGAATTGCTTGAACCCAGAGGCAGAGGTTGCAGTGAACCCAGAAGGCGGAGGTTGCGCTTTAGCCTGAGTGACACAGTGAGTCTGTCTCAAAAAAAAAAAAAGTTCCCCACTCTTAACGTATTTTCAGGTACTGAGGGTTTTGGGATAGTACTTTTTGGCTAGACACACTAGCTAATTATTTAACTGAGTGTACAGTGATAGAATTAAATCTCCAAGGAGCCTGGCCAACAAAGGAAGACCCTGTCTCTACAAAAAAATAAATCTCTGTATATGCTGTTGTGTGACTAGTTCTAGCTGCATGGTAGTTTGAGGATCACTTGAATCCAGAAGTTCAAGGCTGCAGTGTGCTATTATCTCACCACTGCATGGCACCCCAGATGACAGTGAGACCCTGTCTCTAAAATAATAATTACTGGGAACAGTGGCCCAGCACTTTGGAAGGTTGAGGCAGATGGATTGCTTGAGCTCAGAAGTTTGAGACCAGCCTGGGCAGCAGCGAAAACATCTCTACAAAAAAATTTTTGTTAATTAGCCAGATGTGGTAGTGTATGCCTGTATCCCCAGCTACATGGGAAGCTGAGGTAGGAGGATCACTTGAGCCTGCAAGGCAGAGCCTGTGGTTAGCCTTGATCACACCACTACACTCCAGCACGGGTGACAGAGTGAGACCCTGTCTAAAAAAATTTTTTTTTCTTTTTGAGAAGGTTTTTGTTTTGTTTTGTTTTTTTGAGACAGAGTCTCTGTCGCCAAGGCTGGAGTGCAGTGGCACGATTGTGGCTCACTGCAACCTCCACTTCCTGGGTTTAAGTGATTCTCCTGCCTCAGACTCCTGAGTAGTTGGGACTATAGGCACAATCCCAGCTAATTTTGCATTTTTAGTAGAGATGGGGTTCCACTATGTTGGCCAGGCTGGTCTTGAACTCCTGACCTCAGGTGATCTACCCACCTTAGCCTCCCAAAGTGCTAGGATTACAAGCATGAGCCACTGTGCCCGGCATTCTTTTTTTCTTTTTAAAGTGGCTTGTTTGTTTGTTTATGAGACAGAGTCTTGCTCTGTTGCTCAGGGTGGAGTGCAGTGGCGTGATCTTGGCTTGCTGCAACCTCCTCCTCCCAGGTTTCAGTGATTCTCCTGCCTCAGCAGGAGATAAATCCTTTATCAAAGGGAGATAAATACATGAAGATGGAAAAAAAAAAAAAAAAAAAACAGCGCCAAAAGGATGACTCCATCAAAGACCAGAGCACCTCTTCTCCTCCCAGGGATCACAGCTCCTCACCATCAAGGGAACAAAACAAGACAGAGTTTGACGAATTGACAGAAGCAGGCTTCAGAAGGTGGGTAATAACAAACTTGTCAGAGTTAAAAGACCATGTTCTAACCCAATGCAAAGAAACTAAGAACCTTGAAAAAAGGTTAGGTGAAATGCTAACTAGAATAACCAGCCTAGAGAAGAACATAAATGACTTGAT